TTTCGTTTTATTACCAAATAAATATTTCTTCAACTTGCATTTGCTAACTTTATTATTGCCTTTTCTGTCCACGGGTCAATAGCCTATTCGGCTTCGCCTCATGGGCTATTGACCCGTAACCCTTGCGGGCTGCGGGTCTAATTGTTAATTAGGTCTTGTAAGCTCTCTCATGATAACTTTACAGTTGCCGAGCTCTTTTTAGTTCTAGCATAGGTTACTAGTGCAAGTTGTATCTCATAATGTTAGAAGAAAATATCATTTTTTCACTATAAATATGTTTATTTGCAGTGCCTTCTACGATACCTCCAATACAAGACAAGACAGTAACAGAAGGCGGCAACGTGACTCTGTCATGTAATGCCTCTGGGACTCCTCCACCAATGGTGTCTTGGATCAAGGTTAGCAGTCATACACGTACTAACCGAAATGAACTGGTGTTAGCAAACATTAACAGAAGTGAAGCTGGAGAATACAGGTGTGAAGCCAGTAATGAGTGTGGTAATGCATCAGAGACAGCAAGGATTTTTAGTAAGTTAACTATTGCATGTCATGTTATGTACCTGTGCTGACGATCGATGTCTTTCTTTGTAATGTGTGCTATGGGCTGGTCAGCAACAGAAATTCTGCATTAATTAAAATAACCCCACATTAACATGCACAAAACTGCTTTGTTATTCAGGAATACAGTTTTTAACCAAAATGTGAGCTTAAATAATTATAAATAATAATAAGAACTTTGTTTGAATTGTGGAATAGATTTATTAGGAATGTGCTACACAGGTGTTACACATTCCTAATCCTTTATGTTTCTTTACGACAGTACATGTACACAGTATCATAGTACAGTGTACAAACAGGTTGATGAGAAAATGATTGGGCTTAGGTAGCTGACCATGGACTAATGATGTAGACATTGAATTGAAATTCCGTTTTAGGCTCAGCTTTTTTGTTTACAGAGGGCATAAGTTCAGTTTTTTCTTTATCCTACTACGCAGTGACTGTCGTCAAGATTGTAGTCTTTGTAATTTCCTAACTTTTCCTTTTATTATTTCTAATTATTATATGGCTGTGTCTCACAAAGATTGGGAACTACCAAATTCACGAATTTGATTGGCTGAAATCGATATTGAAAGCGGTCTAGATTTTCCCATCTAGACCGGCACCTAGACCGGTAATGTTTTGCTGTGAAAAAGTCGCGAACTAAAATGAAAAAATTCTTCTAACAATATATATTTATAGCAGTGCCAAAAAGCCTGATGAGAGTAAGAAGTAAAGAGGACGAGCAAACTTTGGCAGAATTAAATTCAGCTCATCGCCATTCGCAAGCAAAATGTCACTTAGTACAAACCAGTTACATTGAACGAATTAAATTGTCGTTGTTTGCCACATAATAAACATCTTATTAACCGAGCTTTGTCGATCTGTATGGGAGAATCTTGACCTCGGTCGTGTGTACAGACCACACTGCGTTCGGTCTGTACTCACGACCTCGGTCAAGAATCTCCCATACAGACCTCCTGCTTGGTTAATATGAGCTAGCCTTAGTGCTAGCAGTTTCATGATTTTGTCATATTTAGTCA